GCTCGGGCTGATGGCGGCGGCGGCCGGGCCCGGGGCTGCGCTGTCCCCGCGGCCGTGCGACAGCGACCCAGCTACCCCCGGAGCGCAGTCCCCGAAGGTGAGGAAGCGGCCGGTGCGACCCGACCCTGACCCCGTCCGGGGCCCGTGTGCCGGGGCCTCGGCCCAGTCCCACCGGCGGCCGCCTAGCGTCTCGGGGGCGTGGGCCCCAGGCCGGGCTCCGCGCCTGAAACCGGGGGTGGTCGGCCAGGCGGGGCCCCGAGGGGAGCCCGCGGCCTCTAGCGAGCAACAAGTGCGGGCGGGCGGGCGGGGGACGCGGCGCGGCTCCCCCGAAGTTGGCGGCCGGCCCCGCTTGACAAGCTTGTCCCCAAAACGCCTCTTCCGGGGCCAGCCGCGGAACGGAACGCGTCCGGGGCCGAAAGAGTTGGCCTCGGAGGGGCCTGCAGAAGCGCGCGTTCGCTCAGTCTTCATTCCGCGCATAGTTTGCTGAAGTGTTTGAAAGCTTACTGCAAAAAACCGAGTGGCGAACGATATGGAAAATCAGCACACTCAGTTGGTGAACTTAGTGTAATAACTAAGTAAATACGCAAGCGTCCGGATGTTTTCAGCGGAAGTCTTTTTTTAAAAAAACTTTTTACTGCTTGAGGAGGTGAAAAATTGGTGTTTGTGGAGAAATGGAGATGAGCAGTAGAGTGTCACGCATCAAAACGTTTTGGTTCCAAAGTTAGGCTAGCAGTTTGTGACAGAAGGTTGGAAGGGAGGAATGATGTTTTAAAAGCCTCGAAACTTGAAATTGGGTTGAAATTTAGAAGGCGGCGGGAACTGAAATGCTTCAGAGCCAGCCAGCCTTCGTGCGGTGTGCGGTGTGCGGTGTGCGGTGTGCGCGTTGGCAGGGGAAGCCATCCTGTGGCAGCCTAGCGGGGCTGCGCCTGCCCGGGAGCTTTTCCCGTTGCGCACGTCTGTCGTGCCGTAAGAGAAAGACTCGTTTTGAAGGTTCCTCAAAGGCCCTCGCCAATGGAAGTAACTAGATTGTAAGACTCTGAATGCACATCCTTGCACTTCCAGTGTTTGACGTCTGGCCCGGCACCTGGAGGGCACTGAGCTAGTGCCCACTGAGTGCATTCTTGACCCCTGAGCCTTAAGAAGGATGTGATGCATAGAGATTCATCTGATCCGTAGGTGGAAACCACCTGTAACTCTGGAAGGCACATCTCTGATTTAGTACATTTGGGAGTCTTTGAAAACATGGGCCTGTGTATCAGTATTGCGATTACACGGAAATTCTTACCTTATTCCGTCGTGTATTGGGAACAATATTGCTGTTACTACCTCTCTCTAGAAAAAGGCTCTCTGCCCAGATGCTCACTTTATATAATAATGCCTTTGCCTAGAATTTGTACTAGTAATTTAAAACACTTTATGAAATTGTAGTCTCAGGTTTTTTGAGCACTTTGCGTTTTTAACTATTTTTGTATATTTTTGAGTGTCTCAATTTTTTAGCTAAAGGGAAATATACTTAAGTTTAAGGACATAAAAATCCTTAAAATGCTCACAAATAAAATAGAAAAAAATACTGGAATGTTTAAAATGAGTTATGTTAAAAGTATTGAATATGAAATGTTGCAGTTGTGATACGCAAATTTTCAGAGAGTAGATTTAGACTGTGCAGAGCTCTTTAATGAAATGCTAATTTTATAAGGACTGAAAAAGATTATATATTTTACTATTTGGAAAGGAACCAGTAAATTCCTAGGAGCTAGGGACATTTGAGACTTTATTATCATAATCATCATTTTAACTAGTATTTGTCAGATAATTCGCTAGTCCTTGTTCTAAGTACTTGTAATATAGTAGCTCATTTAATCATTGAATTAGCCATGTAATAGGGGCTCTATTATAGTCTCAAATTTTCAGATAAGGAGATGCTTACAGAGAGTAACTTACTCAGCTAGTAAGGGACGGTGCCCAGTGAGAACCTAGGCCGTCCAGCTCTGGCATGCCTGGCCACTATGCTATATTGCCACTTTATATTCTTTTGTAGGATTCCTTTCATTTTAATATGTAGCAAGAAGACCATGATATTTAGCAAAATTGGATTAGCGTTAAAAGCTATATTACATTTTAAAAATTATGATTTTTTTAGACCTTAAGCTTTGGCTGATAAGTAAATAAATCAATTTCCTAACATCTGATACATTTTCTGAGTGCAGTGTTTGAATTTATAACCTTCATGTTCTTGCCACATAATGTATTACATTAAAAATATATAAGCCTCTTCCTTAAAAAAAAAAAATTCGCCTCCCCCTCTCAAGGTTCTTTTTTTGAAGTGTGTGTTGCTATATTATAGATTGATGACCTTTACTAGGGTATATTTTTGCTAACCTTTAGCAATGTAAGAGGAAGAGTGAATAGTTAGAATTGTTTTCAGTCTTGTATGTCCCCTTTTCATGGGGACATAAATGCCTAGTCAATTAAAATAGTCCTATGAACCGACTCCAAGTTGAACTGGGAACTGTAAATGATCCATACATTTTTTTTCCCCCTGGGCTTGGGTAGGAGAGTTTGCTTTAATCCTAGAGTGATGCAGCAGTTTTATATGTTTATGAAGAGCAGAAAGCATTTTAACCTCAGTTGGCAAGAAAGCAAAAGCAGATTTACATTTACGGGTTAATTGAAAATATTCTTATTTTGATTGGATTGAAGATCAGTTTTAAATTTTATTCCAGGTCTTGCTCATGCCAAACTCTTGGTCCCTTTTAATTATAATATGAAGTTAATGCTTGTATGACTACGTGTCCTTAGACAGTCTTTCACTTATTGAGACTTATTGTTCTTTTATTCTTTCTCTAATTATTATTTTTGAATCTTTTAAATGTATAGGATGATAATGAAGATAATTCAAATGATGGGACCCAGCCATCCAAAAGGAGGCGAATGGGCTCAGGAGATAGTTCTAGGAGTTGTGAAACTTCAAGTCAAGATCTTGGGTACTGTCATTTTACCGGTTATTAATATTTTTTGTGATGTTTCTCTTTGCCTTAACATCCTCTCCCCTTTCCCCCAGCTCTGGCAAAGGCAATTATTAAAAATTGTAGAATATTTTCTTCCTATTCTATAATGTGCCACCAAAGTTGGTCTTGTTACTGAGTGTAATTAAAAAACAATTTTATGGTAGTAAAATACATACATACATAAAATTGGTCATTTGAACAATTTTTAAGTGTGAAATTCATTGGCATCAGTTACATTCACAGTGTTGTACAGCCATTACCACCATAAATTTACAAAACTTTTTCGCTACCCCAAACTTTATAACCATTAAGCAATAACTTCCCTTTCTCCCTCTACCTAGCCCCTTGCAACCATCATTCTACTTTCTATTTTCATGAATACGACTACTTAGTTACTTCATATAAGTGGAACCATAAAATATTTGTCCTTTTGTGGCTGGCTTATTTCTCTTAGAACTTTGAGTATCTTCAAGGTTCATCCTTGTAGCATATGTCAGACTTTTGTTCTGTTTTTAAGGCTGAATACTCCGTTTTATGTATATACTGCATTTTGTTGATCCATTCAGATGTTGTTGGGCATTTGGGTTTCCACCTTCTGGCCAAGGTAAATAATGCTGCTGTGAGCATTGGTGTTCAGAGTTTGTGTTTTCAGTTTTTTTCGATGCCTATCTAGGAATAGAGTAGATGGATTATATGGTAATCCTATGTTTAATTTTTTGAGAAGCTGCCAAACTGTTTTCCATAGGGGCTGCACCAATTTACATTCCTACCAGCAATTCACAGTTTCCAGTTTCTTCATATTTCTCACCAATTTGTTGTTTTTCATTTTTTAAAATAATAGTTATCCTAAAGGGTGTGGAGTGATATTTTATTGTGATTTTTGATTTGCATTTTCATAATATCTGGTGATATTGAACGTCTTTTCGTCTGCTTCTTGGCCATTGTATAGCTTCTTTGGAGACATATCTATTCAAGTTCTTTGTCCATTTTGTGTTTGTTTTTTTTGTTGTAGTTGTAGGAATTTTAAAAATATATTTTATGTATTAATACCTTATCAAAAACATGATTTACACATATTTTCTCCTATGGGTTGTCTTTTGACTCCCTTGATAGTGTCTGTGTGCAAAATTTTTAATTGTAATGAAGCCCAAATTTTTCGTCTATTTTTTCTTTTGTTGCTTGTGCTTTTGGTGTCATATGTAATGCCAAATCCAAGGTTGTGAAAGATTTCTATGTTTTCTTCTAAGAGTTTTCTAGTTAGCTCTTATATTTAGGTTGTTGATCCATTTTGAGA